AAGGGAAGAACAAAAAGGGTTCAAATGCCTCACTGATGCTAATATTTGAATGTCTGAAGCTAATTTCTGGACTAATAGTGGCTGAGGGCTCAGACAGACCCTCAACGAGCCTGGAGAGAGACACAGCAACTGTGCCAGCACTCAAATCGTAAGACAAAAGACAGGAGGGAATTCCCTGGCACTCCAGTAGTTAGGACTCCGTGCTTTCACTGCCGAGGGCGCAGGTTCAATCCCTGGTCGGGGAACTAAGATCCCGCAAGCCACGTGGCATAGCTAAAAACAAAAACAAAACAACAAAACAAAACAAAACAAAACAAGGACAGGAATGAAATATTTTGCCTTATCACTTAGTGCTGGTGTTTCATGGACTGATTAAGGACTCAGTTACCAAAAACAGCCCGTGAGCATCCTCCAAGCATCTGTCCCCTCGGGGCTGTGGGAGGGAGGTGGCAGCCCAGAGGACAGAGGTGCGTCCCACAGGCCCCTTGTTGTACCCCCTTGTGCACATTGTTCTCCATTCTCCACCAGTAAAAAGGGGGTAATTATGTTCCCTCTCCCTGGCTGACAGAGGGACGAGCCCTGAAAGAGTATATGCACCACACTTGAACCCATGTGGCTCAGGCAATTTTAGGCTGAAGGGAGAGTGACCAGGACAGTCTCATGGATCCTTCCCTATAGACCCAGGCTCGAGAGAAATTGGTTTCACTAAAAATACCTAAACCAATTATCGCCAGGAGCGGGACGGGCAACAAAGCTGAAGCCAAAGACCAGCAGGCCAAGTGGCTGGGGTCCCACCACGACCAGGGGATAGGGGCTCCAATCCAGGAGGCCAAGCCAGCCTGATCCAGCAGTGGTGAGGATCTGACGGAGTCGCCCAGAGCAGGAGAGGGCATGGAGCACGGGTCAGGGCCAGGGCAGGAGCCCGCTGCCTGGGTTTAACTCCAGCTCCACGGGGACTTGCTCTGGGACCCCGGGCAGGTAACTAAGTCTTGATTTCCTTTTCTTAGCAATCATAGGAGCGGAACCAGGCTTAGACCCAGACACGAGGGGCCCCCGCCTGGCCTCTTCTGGTCATCAACCTCTCCACAGGGTACGGGGCCTGCAGGGGCAGAAAGACTTGAGGTTGAAAAAGGATCAAAAGTGAGAAGCAAACACAGGGGATTGGGGGGGGTCAGTGAAACCACTCTGTATGATACGTGTCATCATACATTTGTCAAAACCATAGAGTATCCGACACCAAGAGTGAAATTAATGTAAATTATGGACATTGGGTGATTATGATGTGTCAATGTAAGTTCAGCAAGTGTAAGAAATGTATCACTCTGGTGATGTTGATGGTGGCGGAGGCTCAGTGTATGTGGGGTCGGCGGGTATATGGGAAATCTCTGTACCTTCAGTTCAGTTCTGCTGTGAATCCAAAACTACTCTAAAAAAATAAAGTCTATTAATTGAGAGAGAGAGGAACAGCAACAGTAGGAAAGGAGCAAGGAGGAAATGGCCAAGTCATGGTAGCAGAGGAAAAGGACAGGGAAGATCTGTGAACTTTTGCTGGGGCCCCTAAATTCTGAACAACCTTTACCTTCTTGTCTCTGTGTGGCCTGACCCCCTCACGTTCCCCAGGGCTCCAGTGAACAGGAATCCTTGCTCTAGGCAGCCTCGTTCATCCCATCCTTTACTTGAGCAGGCTGGAGAGTGTTTCCTGCCAAAACAGAGCTGAATACACTGTCCCTGGGCCCTGCCTTCTCCCGGGGTCATCCAGGGACCCACAGCCCTAGTTGCTGCGTCTGGGCTGCTTTCTAAAGATATCAATATTTATGATATGACGAATCTTCATTTAGATTCCCTAGATAGACCAATAATTAATAGATTTACTAAAAACCAGACATGGCTTCATCAGAGTCGCATCCAAAGCAGGCACTCTGCTCCCCAGCAACCCCACTCAACTTTCCAAAAAATGCATCACTCCTCTGAAAACATCTGAGATCCCTGCTGCATTTTTTTCTTTCTCTTCCTTTGTTTTAATGTCACGTAATGGCAAAAAGGATTTCGGGTAGGCCCTGTTTCTTTTAGGTCACGTGCTAGAATTCTAGAAAGGGAAATGTGAATGTCTGGGAAGCTCACACAGGACACGAGATGTGTCAGCAGCCAGCACTTCCTCCTGTCCTGGGGCAGGTCGTCCTCATTTCCCGCGACAGCTGTTTCTAACCCTGCTCACGCCTTCCACACCACCCCCACTTCTCACCTCAACTTTGAACAGGATCTCCTGTTTCAAAAATCCTTATTTTTATTTGCAATGCCCTCAAAAAGATTCAGAACTTAAATGATCACTCTGCCTGATCACCTCCTCCTGGACTCCCTTCCCCAACATAGGACACATACCTGTACCCTGGCCTGGCCTTGAGGCTTTCCTTCCACTGGGAGAAGGGGTATCCATCTCTCTGTCCCTGTTCTGTCAATGGTCCCCTGTGTCTCCTGGCTCACCATTTCCACTGTCTTTTTCTTGATTAGATAAAATAACCTGAAAATACTGCACCCTCCATTCTCACTTCAGCCTCTGCACTTGGGCATCCATCCCCACTGCCCCACCGAGACAGCTCCTGCTGAGGGCACTAGTGACCTCCCTGTTGTTAAATCCAACCCCATGTTCGACTTTTTTTTTTTTTAATTTTTATTGAAGCATAATTGACCTACAACACTATGTTAGTTCCAGGTGCACAACACAGTGATTCAATATTTCTATACATTACAAAATGAGCACAATGTCTAGTTACCATCTGTCACCATACAAGTATACTACAGTATTATTGAGTCTATGCCCCACGCTGTACATTTCATCCTTGTGACTGACTCACTTATTTTGTAACTGGAAGTTTTCACCTCAGTCTCCCTTACCTATTTCACTCCCCCTCCCCCACCATCAACCACCTGTTTGTTCTCTGTATCTATGTCTGCTTCTGTTCTGTGTTTGTTCGTTTCATGTTTTATAGATTCCACATATAAGTGAAATCATACAGCATTTGTTTTTCTCTGTCTGACTTATTTAACTTAGCATAATACCCTCTAGGTCTATCCATGTTGTCACAAATGGCAAGGTTTAATTAATTTTTATGGCTGAGTACTATTCCAGTGTGTGTGTGTGTGTGTGTGTGTGTATGTGTGTGTATGTGTGTGTGTGTGTATGTGCGTGTGTGTATCTCTATACACACCACCTCTTCTTTATCCATTCATCTATCAATGGACACTTAGGTTGCTTCCATAGCTTGGCTATTGTAGATAACGCTGCAATGAACACAGGGGTACATGTATCTTTTCAAATTAGTGTTTCTATTTTCCTCAGGAAAATACCCAGAAGTGGAACTGCTGGAGCACATGGTAGTTCTATTTTCCCATGTTCTACTTCTTACTTTAAATAACTTCTTGGAACCATCTGGCACTATCCATCATTTCCTTCTTTAAATTAAAAAAAAAAATACTCTCTACTCCTTTGGCTTCCATGATGCCATTCCTTGCTACTTTTCCTCCTACCTCTGAGGTCTTTCCCTCCCAGGTCCTTTGCACGCTCATCCTAGGATGCTGGTAGCCCACCCCACCCCCCGGCTTCCCAAGTTGTTTTCTTCTTTCTTCACACTCAAGGTACTTATCCTGGGGATGACATCGACTTTATAGGTTTAACTACCACTTAGACATTGACAAATCCCAAACCTAAATGCTCAGCCTAGACTTCTCCTCGGTGTTTCGATGAGAACGTCCAACAGTCAGACAGCTCCCTGTAAACTTCCCACAGGCACCTCAAAGTTAACATGCCCCCAGCTCAACTCTACCATCACTGCCTCCAGCCCTGCCCTCCCTCATGTGTTCCCTGTCTCAGCGAGTAGTGTCGCCATCCTCCCAGTTGGATCTCGTCACTACAGCCAATAAATCACTCCTCGATACCTCTTAAGTTGGTTTCCTTCTTTATTCCCACTACAGCCAGTACCTTATTTCCAGTCCTCATAATTTCTCACTGGGATCCCTTCAATGACCAATTGGTTCACGGCTTCAGCTTTCCTTCTTATACTTTACCTCTTTCTCCAATTTTTCCACAATAGGTATTTACCAATAATACATTCACTAATAATGAAATACTGATTTTATAACATAAAATAATTTCATAAAATTTAAGGTTTTTCATTTTTAAATTTAAAATTTAAAATAATAAAACACTGTTTTTAAATAATGTCCATGAGACGTTCCTGCCCAATAGTTCATGGTTGTCCAACTCTGTGAGCAGGTTGGGACCAGCCTGTGAAACTGGACACTCTATCCAGGCCCCCAGGGTATGTCCCCACCTCCCCATATTACATGCCATTACCTGTGTCACTTAGCACACTCACTTGAGCAGAAATCAATTCACAGGCAGGACAGCAGGAAACAGAGGAGGAAACTCCAGACTCAGAAGTCAAGGTTCAAACCCTACTTCTGCTCACAAGCTACATGACGTGATCAAATTACTTAGTCTCTGAGCCCGTTTCCTCAAGGGGGCCATGGGCATAATATAACATCTATCACAGGCCTACAAAGGATCAATAAGATGTGATAGTGCTTTAGCAGGGTTCCTTCCAAGAGTAAGCTCTGAACCACAGATGGTGACAGAAAAATCTCTATGACTTATTTCAGGGCCTAACTCTGAAAACTTTTCTTCCCTTCTGCTCTAATGTATTTTTTCCTTAAATTTTTTCTGCACTTTCATAGACTCATCTTATCTCCCCAGCTTGTTCACTATCTTAAAAGACGGAGCCATGCCTTCCTTCTTCTGGTTCCCTCTACAGAGTCCCTTGAATGGCCTCTGCACAGAGACTGCTTAACAAATGCTCGGAGTAACTAATAAGGGTTTAGCGAGGGCTTGGGCTCAGTTCTCTGGCCAGGCCTGGAACGCACTCTCAAGGCTACGAAAAGATTCTTTAAGAGGAGGGACATCGGGGTGCAGGTGAGGGGGGAGGAGGCCAGAACCAGAGCCTTACCTTTGCACTGCAAACCCTGCCGCAAGAGGCCCCAGAGCAAGGAGCCGCAGTGGTCGCAGAAGGTGGGAACCTTGTAGTTGTGGATCCCGAAC